AAGTTTCCCCTTCTGAACATTTTGGCAAACCTTAATAAAATAATTACTTAATAAAAATGGAATGGAAATTAACTTAATAAAAATGGATGTGTGTATGTATGTCGATATTAGTATGTGCGAATACAATTTTTAGTCGACGATTTTAAGAACATGGATCAACCGATTTGAATGATTCAAAAAACATCTTATTCGCATTGACAAAACAATGAACTGATTATCGGAATGCTGGTCAAGCGGTTTCGGTGATCCAATAATAACAGTAAACTATTGGGGTGCATGGCATCGTGTCCCAAGGCAAATTACTAGAACTTCCCGTACCGTAACTAAAAATCTTGGTACGGAACCCCAAAAAAAAATACACAAAATGTATACACATTATTAAAATCTCTACAAAATATCTGATAATTTGATGTACATATGTCCAATAAACATTTTTGACCGCCAAATGACATTTTTTAACTTATATTTATTAAGAGTCCATAACCGCTGGATCTGCCTTCCCAAAGTTTAATCAATTCTTCATTACGCCAACACAAATAACATGTTTTTTGAATTATTCAAATCAGGTTCTCCGTTCCCTCAAAAATTTAATTACCGTTTTTGTCACTTTTTGCCCCGTATCTTCGGATTGGCTAGACCTGCCTTCGCCAAAACCTAATCATCACGTTTCCTCATAAATAGAAATAGAATGTTTTTTGAATAATTGAAATCCGTTGAACTGTGTTCCCGAAATCGTCGACAAAAAATTGTATCCGCACGCACACACACACACATACACATTCACACACACATACATCAATTTTTTCTAAGGTTTGCCAAAATATTCAGAAACCTTTGAAACGTAAAGATATATAAAAAATTTCATTTTCGATTTTTTTGCAATTACTATAACTTAAGCTACCGGAAGTTATTTACTATAACTTACCCTAGGGTAAGTTAAAAATGCTATTTGGGAGACAAAAATGATTATTAGACATATGCACATCAAATTATCAGATATCTTATAGAGATTTTAATAATAAGTACAAATTTTGTTTATATTTTTTACGTTCCGTGCCAATGTTCACTCGTTATTCTTCGACGCGGCGCTTACTCGCTTCGATATTTTGTCTTTAAAACAGATACTCAGCGCGATGGCTTCGAAAAAAAGTTCAGTATTTTCAAAAAATTTCAATATATAAAAAATCAATTTTTCTGAAAAGCCATTTTTTCAAAAATTTCAAAAATTTCAAAAATCCAATTTTTTCAACGTTTTCAAAAAAATTTAAGGCTTTTTCAAAAATTTTAATTTTTGTTACAGGAAATTCCAGCAATTTGCCTTAAGGCACGATGCCATGCATTACTAGTTTTTTTTATTATACCGTCATGTTTTTTAAAATTTATCCTCTCCGGCGGCAAAATATTAAACATATTAAATCTGCAATTCGCGAGTGGAAAAGGTTAAATTTTACTTACTTGGCTTTCTAATTGGATGCATTCCTCTGATCTCTTCAGCATCGACTCGAACGTTATCCACCGGCAACTAAGCGCCGCATTCTGACGAAAATGTACCTGCTGTATACTTGACAACATTGTTTATGTTATGCAATTTGATCCATATGAATTTATGGGCATTGAAGAACATTTACATTTCACGATAAGATCTAAATTTATTGTCTGCGGTGTGTTAAATTTTAAAGCAATTACCAAAAAGCAGTCTCACTGTTTTTTTTTTATTTATTTATTTAGCAGTATATACATTTCATATATATCCATATCTCAGGCAGACAGGGGTGTCTGGCTCTCCTGTTGTGAGAGTTTTTTTTTCGACATTTATTCGAGTTACTAAAGAATTCACCTTATTAACACTAGTTTACATTCATACCTCATCATTCACCGTTTTAGTAATATATTTAAGAAATATAATAATCCTTTTTTAAATAGCAATCAAAACTTAAGTTCCATTAGCTGTTGCTCAGTATATTTAGATTTAATACTTTCAAGTGAAAACCGATATAACTACTCTGCTTGATATCAGGATGTCCTAAGTGGGATAGAACCTAGAACCTAAACCGTTCGTTGATTCGCAGAGCTACGAAACACCTGATATTGAAGAAATAATTTGCAGAAAAAAGAACAAGAAAGAATTCTATAAATTTAAATATGAGATTGTAATTTTTTATTGTACTACTTCTCAGTAATAGAAATAGTGAAAGAAATGTCAAGACTATTTTTTAAAGAATAAATGACAAAATCTGACAAAATAACTATAATTAAAGAGGACGTCCATTAATCACGTGAGGATTTAGGGGGAGGGGAGGGGAGGTTTGACAAAAAATCACGAA